GAAAATATATTCTATAATAATAAATCTAATGATACTTATTTTATATAAAAAAATGTTAGTACTTTTTAATATAACTTCAGTCAAAGTTTAAATTAGTTGACTCCTAAGTCAGAATTGCATTCTTCTGCGGACGGAGAGAGTACGCGTACGTGTGAGTATTGCGATGCTCGAAGAAGTTGACCTACCAAAGCATATGTAGTATAGTGCTAGCTACCTAGACTGATGACCCCACACGTGCAATCAGTAATTCTATATGCACACATAGTATATCACAGCCACCAAACAATGCTACCAAGGCCGGGCAATGCAAAGTGATTAGGCTATTATGAGTATAGTAAGCCGACATGTTTAACCGCGTTTGGCCATGGCAGGTAGACTTGCTACGCGTCCACGTCAGCTTCGAAAAGGACGACACAAACAATTTTAACTCGGCGGCTCAGCTGGGTTCATGGCCGACCACTGCTCCGATCTGCCGGCCAGTCAAAATCATCCAAGCAAGATAGCCACTAGCCACTAGCCACTAGCCAGCATGCAGAACCCGACGCAGGAGAAAATCAGCAGACGTTAGCAACAGTCGACCGAAACCTACATATATATTGGCATATTGCATACAATAGACAGAGTACCCTAAAGTTGCTTCTTTTTTTTTGTAACTTGTACTTATACTGTGCCATGAACATTATTGCCGTGGTTGTTCAACGTGCACGACATTTCACTTACAGTTCGAAAGAAGTACCAAGTACGATATGGGTGACCTCATTCTGGGATGAAAAACATTTTTAAAATGAAACTATACAAAATAGTTAGAGAGATAATGGAAAACTTTTCTATTCAGTTGGAGCACTGTATGTAGGCGATGCGTTCTGTAGACCACCGCGCTCTTGGCCAACCTTAGGATTTGTTTGGGCCTTCGACTCCTCTACTGCAGCACTACTCTAGTGGCACTGTAGCAAAAACTGGTAAAGCCCTCAACAACCAGTTCTGTCGGCTCCTCCAGTTCATAGTTTATCTTTGTGAGGAGAAAGTTCTTCTGATCTCTCCCAGTTTTTTTAGACTCCTCCAACTCCTGAAACCGTATAATTTACCCTCTAAGTGTTTTTGAAAGCGGCTTTTGATTGAAGTGGTGTCACATCAAGCGTCCACACACATGGCAGTATGGCACCGCGTCAGCCACGAGGAAGGTAAATTGAACTTTCGTGATAATTTAGGGAGGTCAATTGAACTTTATAAATAATTATGATTTTTTTTTTCAAAAATACCCAAATATTGTCTAGAATAAATATGTATTTTAAAATACAAACATCTAATTTAATATTTTAAAATTCATTAAAAATTTATTTTAACTTAGAAAGAAATGAAACCAGATTCCATTTCCCCTAAAATCATGCTGTATATATGACTTTTTAGCAATTTTACAATTTTATTTTGAAGATTATCTTATTGCCTTGAGCAGGTATACATGTCTTGAGGGTCTAGACATTTTAGCAATCTGAATGGTCCTAACCACACCTGCTTAATTTTGGTTTCTTGGATATATATATATATATATATATATATATATATATATATATATATATATATATATATATATATATATATGCTCTATCGTTTTTGTTTATCATCACGTACACGCATGGTCCGGTTAATCAGCTCACGCAGGACGGCAGGATTAGGTCTTGCGTACGTGAGGGAACCCGGGCAGAGACCAACAACTCCTGTCACGTCCACCCGACGCCCGTACTGGAGCAGCTAGCCGGCCACTGCCAGACAGCCTCAACCGGCCCCTGTGCCCGTGGTGCATGGGGTTCTAATTGTGGTTAGTACAACTACGCTTCAATTTCTAATCGTTTTCAGCAATATCCATGCCAACGTCCAGCGCATTAGTAATCAAGCCGTGTGTTCCGGTGACTAGATTATTCCAAGGTCTAGTTGCTCGTGCCTGTGTCGTGTGAGTAACTGAGTAGTAGCTAACTAATCATGATTATTCACGACCAGCTTTGTCGCTTTGTGAACGAGGATTGCACTCGAGAGTCTGCTCTGTCATGTTAGTAGTATGAACTAGCCTATCAATATGTGCTACGACATCGACATGCACTAAAATCTTATACATTAAATAAATATTAAAAGTTTCATGGATAAATTTAGTACGTACAACTAATCATCAAACTGACCATCTTACATTTCTATATTCATAACACAATCACCCTGTTCGCTGATACTAAAATTTGGCTCACGCTGAAATATCCATTTAAACTCTATAATACTTATATAAATTTACCAATTACTCTATGTATTTTTATCCTTGGCAGCGAGGACTATATATATATGATCTCAATGAATGTATTAAAGTCAACCATATGTTGTCAGCCTATATGGAAATTTTAAATATAGAGTCAAGGTTAAAACTTAAACAAACCTAAATAGATTTTACGGTCGAAGTAAGAAAGCTACCTTTTTTTTTTTTGCTCCATTACAGCTACTCTTGCTGGCCTTCTGTTCAACACCTGCTATCCGGGCAACAATTATTGGATATAGAAAATTGGCTCAGATTAAAAGCACGAGCTACGTGTCTTATTATTCTTGGATTACAAAACTAGGACATCATAGTCCGGGCAAGAAGCCACGGAAGGGTTCCAACAGTTCCCCCCTTCCTCGGTACCTTCGGTCTGACAGAAAATAAACAGTAGATGTTGCAGCTCCAAATTAGCACCGAGATGACTGGAAATCTTCGAGCTTCATCAGCGGACCGCGAACGCAAGCAAAGTTGCCGGCGATAAGCAACAGTGGTCTGCCCAGAACGCAAGCAAAGTCATTGCAATGGTATCATGCTGGATGATACTGTAAATATTGAGGCCCTGCGTTTCATGAAAGCAGAATGGTCTTTTAACCAGAAAAGGATATACCCAGCATAGAACACTTAGTTTGATTACTCAAACGCTCAAGTACTGAAATCATAGAACTTAGAATGGAAGGAAGTACATTAACATAGTGAAGATGTTGAGTAGCCAGCTTTAGCTTCTTATCAATGTCACTTCCATCCACCAACAGAACCTTCTTTGTATCATCCATCTGGCCAATGTACTGTATTGCACACTGTTTTTTTGTCTTGTGGCTAAGTTCCAAGTTACATAGACTAAGAGCTATACAAAAATAAACATGGACCAGTAAATTTTAAAGCAAACATTGTAATTGCAAACAATGAATTCATATGTTGAAGGTCGAGACATTTTGCTATAAGGGTTTTTCCCTGCAGGACAGAAAAGTTCAAGAGTGCTCTGAATGTTTGCAGACAAAAAAGTTTATAAACACGTCAGAAAACATTGATAAAACAAACACATATTATCATATGCTCAAATTGTTTATGACAGTCAACTTTTTAAGGAAAGCAGGGCAACAATGTCAGTTTGTACTTACATCTGGTAAATAGCAATTCAACTTTTTGTGAAAACATGATCCTAGTAAACTAAGTTGATGTTAATGTGATTTAAGTTCGTAAAAGCTAAGGGCTATGCTAAACATGAGCAATTAATATTAGTGCATACATTTTTAACAGAATACAAAAGGATTCATAAGGCCATTCTCAATGGGAGTTTCATTCAATCATTCTCATTAAATAGTGTCATGCCAGCTTTTCCGATGATGTGGGAAGGCATTAATGAAGAGAGAGATGAAATGAGTTTCATCTAGATGAAATTATGTCTACACTGTTTCCAATACAACTTGTCTCTTGCATGTATTGCGTATGAAATACAAAAATGAAACAATTTATTGCATAGATCATTTCAATGTTATCAAATCGTCTAGTCTACCCTAATCGCCATGGGACCAACCAGATGACTAATCGCGATTTGTCGCGAACCAGCCCGATTAGTCAAGCCTAGTCGGTTCTAATGGTCCATATAGTTGTCCTGTATGTTCCAGGACTGATATACCATATAACATGTAGTATAAAGCAAGCAGCAAGAGTCTAAAAACACTAGGGCACATATTCTTGTGAGATTTGATGGCCAGTTGGCCGCTTATATCTGCACATACATCACACAGCCAGACAGGTGTCCTATGTAAGCACTAAGCAGAGAGCAGCAGCACAGAGCATGAGGCAAGAACAGCAGCAGCAGTAGAGCTAGAGCAACAGCAGCAGAGCTAGGGCAAGGCAGAGTCGCAGAGGTGCAAAGCACAAATCAAACGCGCACACAGCATAGCAGCAAGGAGACGGAGGATTGGAGGACTAGAGGAGCTCATCTTCGGAATGGAAGAAGGGATCTGGCGGGCAGTGGAACTGTGGAAGAATCTGGCAATGGTTGTGCCCATCGGAGGCATGCAGGCACCCTGCAGCAACAGGAGCCAATGGAGATTTGTGGAGAGGTCCGGGTCCAGCAACGGCAGGGACGGGAACCAGTGGCCGCAAGCTCCTGGGCGGCAGTGAGCTCTTCGGTGGCATAGCGGTGGACAGCGGAGCAGCACACACGAGATAGGTATATATTCCAAAACATAATGGACCAAATGGCCAGCCCATAAGCGCACCAAAGCCCAGTTGCTCAGGCAGTGCAATGCGCAACGTAAAAGCTAGTCGTTTCCATCCTAATCGCACAACTAATCACAATTAAGCGACAATTAGTCGGACGACTTGGAATCTGGTGAGACAAATAGAGTCGCTGGACATAATCAGAGTCATAGGAGCGATCAGTCCGATTAATCGGACGACTTAATAACACTGGACTATTTCATTCATTCATTTCAATATACCCTATTGCATATGTGGCTCTATTGGAACATCAATATGAATTTTTCCAATGAGAATGGCCTAAGACTAAAAGCCACATCAGAAAACATCATGTAAAACAAACATGTTTTATCATACTTATTAAACAGATTTTAGTAAACAACAATGCAGTTCAGGAAGTAGGATAACATAGTCAGCTCACAGTAAAATCTGACAACAAACAATTGAACCTGTCGTGAAAACATGATCCTAGGAATTTAAGTTGATGGTAATGTCATTAAATCACCTCATCTAAGAGAAAATCCTGTTCATATATAAATACAGGCTTAAATATGCATTGGGGATAATAGGACATGGGTGACAGGGCACCATGTAATATATAAGATAACTGTACATGTGGTTAGCCACTTATCCTATCATCCTAAAGACTAAAGAGAGGTTCTAGAAAGTCAAGATATCAAAAGGAATTCAATTAAGCCATTTAAGAAGGTGTCATTTTGTGAAAACATACAACAAAGTTGTGCAGTTTTAAAAATTAGTAAGCATGTTTCTTCGTAGAGCACACCATTAAACTATGATTCAGTATAGAAAATCAGTTGTCAATAACAATTTTGTAGAAAGTGAGCACATCAAAACGCATACATATTGATTTATTTAGTAGTTAGCAAATACCTTCCCCTCTGCAGTTTGAGCAGACAAAGCAATCTTAAGCCATAGCTGCCGTACTTTCTTCTGCAGCTTGATTGCATGGCTTCGTGGTTTAGACCCATGGATGGTTGCACCACCATGAAACTGTTATATTCATAGTTTAGTTGACTGAACTCCAAATTGGATAGGATGTTTCAAGCAATCTCAATATGAATATATGTATCATTATTTATTCAGTTATAATAACTAACCTGGGGGCCATGCAGTGTTCCACGCCATGCTCTTCTGGTTCCTTTTTGCTTGTAAGGCTTTCTTCCAGTGCCACTCACTTCACTGATAATTTTAGTTGAAGGGCAGGCCTGGTGCAAGCGGTAGAGTCTTACCGCCTGTGACTGGAAGGTCCAGGGCTCGAGTCGCGGTCTCCTCGCATTGCACAGGCGAGGGTAAGGCTTGCCACTAACACCCCCAGACCCCGCACAGAGCGGGAGCTCTCTGCACTGGGTACGCCCTTTTAATTTATTAGATTACGGAACTGTTATTTTGTCAAGATGATATACATCAGTCCAATAATTCCATAAGTGGGGGCCAAGTAAAAAAATATATTGAGTGATCCAATTGGAGCACCTGCTGGCGAGCTGCTACCTTACTACCCGGTGAACAATATCCTTCCTAATTGGAACATCAAAAACATCATCATCCAAAGCCATGAAGCCCTTGTCCTCATTATGGAAGTTTGTAACCCTAGATACAAACTTAAGCATTATTCATAAATTCAGCACATTCTTAATTCAAAAGAAAATCAGCATTATTCATAAATAACTGCAATACTGCAGAAGTGAAGTGAAGTGAAATTTCATTCATGTTGAATTTTGGTCCGATTAGGTAAAGAAACAGTTAGCAAAGCTTTAGCTAACCAAAGATAAGATGGTAGATCATTCGTTAAAAAACATTGAGAAGTCTAGTATTGAGAGAAATGCCACTAAAATGGTGATATGAAACTGATCAATAGGGGGAGAACTTACGAAGCTCCCGGTCTGGTGTCCACACAGTCTTGGCTAGAAAGAAGTTCTGATGGAATCGGCACTTCACTTGCTGGAGCCATAAGAGTAGAATACACATTGAAACAGAAACCTGGCAGATTCCAGAAATGGAACAAACATTTAAAACAAAAAGACAATGATGAACTCACATGCATTCAAATATACTAAAAGCACATTTTCAAACAGAGACAAAATAGACTTCTCAACAGATGATTAGATGTAATCAGCTAGATCTTGGCAAAAGATAAGAAAACGTCTATGTTAAAATCATGATAACCCAAAGCGCTAACAAGACAAATATGATTGATGCTATCGTCCAAGATAAGTTAATGTTGAAAAAAATGCTCCAGAAGATTGGAGGATGTAATTGTTGTAGCTTTCACGGCGCATGTTTAAAAAGCAAGGCCGTCTCCATTTCCCCTTAACAAGAACGAAATAAAACAAAATTCAGTGCAGCAAAGCAAAAGCAGGAACAGGAAGACAATGAGCAGAGCAAGTTTGAGGGGGCAGACAGAGCACCTATCATATCATCACATGTAATCCACTAATCTAAGATCTATTCAGTAGTAAAATTTGATGATAAAGCCAGATGTAAAATCCCTTAGTCTCTGAAGGCTTAAAAAATTGTAAACTGTTGTTGAACAGTAACTGGATGCAGCATAAGGTAAACAGGCAAAATCACAGTACCAGCCGCACAGGGGACGGAATGAACGGAAGAAGCAATTGGACTAAGGTCTTACTGAAATACTGAAACGCTACCTAGAAGGCTACAACCACAAGCAACACAATGAAATTGCAGATAGATGTTTCTCATGCACCTAAGACACAAAATTGACACATATATGCCTAGATAGATCAGCGCTGAACATTGAAATCTCTTCAATGCTACTCACAGTAATTGCTGAAAAGGGAATTTTTACGCTTCCCTTCAGGAAACTTGGAACAAAGCAATCCTTGAAAATACGCCAACCAGCATAGTCATCAAGATTAAACATAATTGCAGTCGAGTGAAAGAGTAAGGATCTTGCTAAATCGCTAGATTTCAAGCTGATATACTTCGTTGCGAATTAGGATTCAGGCAAGTGGCCGAGCAATCTTGCACCTAAACCACAAACAACTCTAGCATGAAACAGGTCCATTTCCCATCTTACACGGGACCAAACATACGAACGCATGAGCAACAGGAGCAACAGGGGGGAGGGAGGAAGGGAGGGGATCCAGACCTTTAGCGGCACGGCACTGCGCCCGGCAGCAGGTGGCGTAGCGCCGCCGCCGCCGCAGTTGGCGGCTTGGCGCGGACCCAGCGACGCGGCGCGCGCAAGGGCCCGCGTCGGGTGTGGAGAGAAGGGGCACGCGGCGGCTGGAGTTGTGCCGGCGAAGCAAGGCGGCTGCTGCGGCGGCGGAATAGAGCGCGGCCGCGGAGCCACGAACACCGCTCCGCGTGGGCTCTTCCTCACTTTTGCTTGTTAGCTTGGGGGCCATTCAGCAACAGCCCGCGGCGTGTGATAGGATAGCCCAGGGCCTTTATCTCCTCGTGTGGGCCACCGCGCGAGCGTGCTCGCGGCGCCACATGTTGGACCACTTTGCTCCTCCTCATTCGAGATGGTGGGCCGATAGCCGGTCCATGCCGGCCCGCTCACCTGTGTACAGCGTTCCCACGCATTGGTCAACCAACTCGTGCCCTCGGATAGAACCGATAGAATAGAATAGGATAGAACAGAGGAAAATACGTTCCTCTCATGTTTCTATCCTACTCAATCCATCCCAAATTATAAGACGTTTGACTTTTTTGACATCAAGTTTAACCACTCGTCTTATTCAAAAATTTATGTAAAATATTATTTTTTTTGTCGTGGTTTGGTTTATTAATAAAAATTCTTCAAGAATGACTTAAATTTGACTATATTTGCACAAATTTTTTAATAAGATGAGTGGTCAAACTTGAAAAAAAAAGTCAAACGTCTTACAATTTAGGATGGAGGGAGTATATTTTTCTTTCTTGTATAGTTAGAGTTCAAACGGTTAGTGCCAAATTTAGAAGAGAGAATTTCTTATTTGACACAGGGAAAATGAGTCGTTCTTTTCTTGGCCCTGAAATTTTCTTCGTTCGCTATTTGACACTCACTTCAACTTTCATCCCTAATTTGATACTACCGTCAAATCCGTTAGCTAACGGTGTTAACTGGCCGTTAAAAAGATGTTTTTGCCCTTGGAAAAAACTGGCGAAGCAAATTTGAGAGGAAAAAAAACTACCGCCTCGGTGTATGTGCCCAAATGCAAAAAAGACCACCAACCAAATGATGCATGCATGCAACAGCGCCTCTACATGCGTCTAGGGGCCAAAACGTCTTTTTAACAGCCAGTTAACACCGTTAGCTAACGGATTTGACGGCAGTGTCAAATTAGGGATGAAAGTTGAAGTGAGTGTCAAATAGAGAACGAAGAAAATTTTAGGACTAAAAAAGGAACGACTCATTTTCCTAGTGTCAAATAAAGAATTCTCTCAATTTAGAAACCAATGAGAATATTCTTGGCCACAGGCGGGGATTCATTTATTGCGTTTATAGTGTTTTAGTGATTAGATCTTGAATTTGTTATAGTGTTTTAGTGAAGTTATTTTTTTTTAATTTTCATGAGTTTATATTAGAATATTTTAACAACGTCAGGATTTTATTTTCCTCTGTTGTTTTGGTTTAATTCAAATTTGTTAGATTAATTCAAAAGGGTGGCAAGCTCTCAAGTGACACTAGTTGTCGGGGACCGAATACCGGGTACCCGAAGAGGAGGAGCTAATAACCGTTGACGCTTTCGATCAGACAAGAACACAACTACACTTTTTGTCCGAATGACGGAAGATTGGTTCCACCTCGCTCGACCCCCGAGGGCCAGACTCCGTCTCGCCCGACGTCCGAGGGCGGGCTCCGCCTCGCCCGACGACTGGGGACTGGCTCTGCCTCGCCCGACCCGAGAGGGTTGGGCTCCGCCTCGCCCAACGGCTGAGGGCTGGCTCCACCTCGCCCGACGTCCGAGGGCAGGCTCCGCCTCGTCCGACACCCGGGGGCTGGCTCTACCTCGCCCGACGACCGAGGACTGGCTCCACCTCGCCCGACCCCCGAGGGTTGGGGTCCGCCTCTCTCGACGACCGGGGACTAGCTCCATCTCGCCCGACCCCCGAGGGTTGGGCTCCGCCTTGCCCGATGTCTCGGGGCAGGCTCCGCCTCGCCCAAACGTCCGCACCATGTTCCTTCATAATGACAAGCATAGGGTAAGACATGACACTTGAGTCAACCGCAGTACCAAGGACCATACCCTGCACGTCTGTGGGTAAGTACCGTCAGGATATGACGGGACGGACGCTCTAAGCCCTCCTAGGCACAGCAGAGCCCGAACAGTGTTGTAGGCGTCGACTTTCGTCTTATAGTGTTGTGGGCGCCGCCGTCAGCCCTCGGGCGTGGATTTGACATAAGCATATGACAACCACTATGGTCCAGGAGGAGACTCGCATCCTCTACGGTGACGGACGTGTAGTCACCGCATCGTCCGCTCCCCGTAGGGTTGCGGATTAACATCCCTGTCCGACACGCCGCCCATCGGGGCGGGATGGGACATGACCACTTGCTGATCCAGTCAGAGCGTGGCATCATCAAGGCGTAAACACCCGACGAACGTGCTATCCCTGACACCGTCGTCCCGTGTTAGCGAGGCTGGCTCAGAGGAAAAGGAAGACCCGGTGCCTTCGAAGGGGCTTCTTGGCCTCTGGTTTTCCTCCTTTGTCCCATATGTAATCTCTGTCTCCCCTTGGTCTATAAAAGAGAAGGTAGGACACCCCACTAAAGGGACGGATCAATCCTACGCACCACACAACACATAGTTGAGCAGCAACCGAGCTCTCAGCGCCTTTTCGGCCTTTCCATCAGAGACTTGGGACATGTCCCTCTCTCGACTGTTTGTACCCCCTACTACGAACCTTTTCGGTGCTAATAACATGAGCAACAGTAGACTAGACGTAGGGACATTCTGCCCGAACCAGTATAAACCTTGTGTCCTTTAGCACACCATCCGGGCCTAACGCACAACAAATATAAATTTACTAGTTGGTGCTTACTCAAAACACCGACAGTTGGCGCGCCAGGTAGGGGACCTTTGCGCATTTCAACGATAAACATCAGGCCACGGATGGCTAGCCACGGTATCAGCTGGGTCCCAGGTGCACACGTGCGCTTCGGGAACCTAGACTTCATCATCATGGTGGGAGGAGCATTGGCATTGGCTAACGCCACCATCCCAACTCTCCCCTCCATCGGCCTCAACAACGAGAGGCTTGAGTGCCAGCTCGGTGTCTCCCTTGGACCCCAGCAGTCCAGGGAGGACCGGCGCCGCCTCACCCTCTCCGACGCTAACGACATGGTGCGGTTTTCTGGAGGAGGATCCCTCTCTTCGGAACACCACATACGGAGCGCCCCGATAGCATTTCCGTTCGGTCTCCGCAACGTTGCGGCGATCGTTAGCCACCTTGTGGCATGATGCATGGTCCTGCCGCACGCGAACAACGAGTTCATGGGGGTGATCGAACACATCATGGAATCTCTCCACAACCTCCTCACAGAGGAGCCAGGGTCGTCCTTTGGCTCTGACTCCAGCAGGGGGAGCCATCACCCCTCTCGGGAATGCTTCATGACAGGTACCCTCGAGGGACACGTCAAAAGTATCTCCGCGGAGGAGGCTACCTCAGCGGGCAACCTGATGTAGACTAGGCCTGATCTTCCGAAAGGTATGATAGCGTCGATTGGTGGAGACTCGACGTTCACGATCTAGGCTTCGAACCAAGACTGATTCGGACCCCCGCAACCGTTACACCACTGCTCCGTTGGTTATCAATCACGCGAACGCGATTGACGTCGCCGAGAAAGCTTTCCTGCAAGCGAATCGAAAACACAAGCAAGAATGGGATCAACGCAATCTAAAATTGCAAATAAATATGAGGCTTCTGAAAACAATAAGGAGTTCAAGTCTTTATTCGAAAGGACTAATCTCCACAGGCGAACAAGATCAAGAACTGGGGCCCTGGTTCACAGCAAGCGGCCTTGGCGACGACAGTTGCAGCAAAACAATGTCTGTTTCATGAGGAAATCAAGCACTAAACAAAACCCAAACCCTAAGGAGAGCGATGGCTGGTATTTATAGAGTCTTGGGCGTCACCCCCCTGGACGCGCCCCCTAATAGGCCCAAACACGATACATGGTCCAACGGACCAAAAGACGGTGTCGCAGCACCCTGGCAGATTCTGGACGCTAACTTATTTCGACGATTCCTGTTGATTCCTAAGGGATTTTGACATGAGACCACTTGGGTTGGCTTCCTTATCCAATTAGCTTTCCATCCATATGTGGATCATCGAAAACAGAGCCCGGATGCGTCCTGGGTGACCAGTTTAAGGCAGACTGGTCCTGGAGGCCGAGATGGACTCGAACTTGATTTGGGCCTCCACCTTGGTGACTCGAACCGGATGAGCTTCGGGCCTCCTTCTTGCTTAGGACACCCTCGCTGATCTCCTTGGTCTCCATATGGTTTTCTAAGCATGGTCATATGTATGGAGGATATGTCCTCATCATCCTCCCTTTCTTGACGAAAAGCCGTCCTCGGTGTCGATTTTGTTTGAAGTCGATCCTGCACAACATGAGGACAAACGAGGTTTTCAAAATAATGGGAATGGACAATGCTGTGAGAAAGAATATGACCACATGTCTAGGTTTGTAGCATGTCTTGTCCTACAGACATGTAGTCTGCTCGATTGAAATACACACGATCTTTGCCAATACTATCCTGCAAAGGATTAACACTAACAAGAAACATATGCTCCCTTTCTTTGGATTACACTTGTGTTCGAAAAGCAAAACTAGAGGAATATGGCATAACAATAGTATTGATTTTACTGTACTCTAGTTGATCATTACCTTGCACAACAAAAAGAGAATTCAGATTTGTACAAATGTAAACTCGTTGTATCAAATATTGTCCTTGATTGTTATATTTACCAAAAACAGGATATGTATGTCTAGAGAACCATGACAAATCAGCATATGCAAAAAGTTTCTCCTCTAAAGAACTAAGATTACACGGAACATCAAATTCAATGTAACCCAAAGTATTTAAAGAAGACAACAATTTTAGCTCATCAACTTCACTAGCATTATGAATAACAAGTCTATTTTCAGTACAAGTGCTCGATTTCAGCACACATATAGAATGATCATTCTTCAATGATTGGGGTATAACATAAATGTCATCATGCAAGTCATCTTCATCACAAGAAACATCAAGCAAATCATCTTGTGACAAAGGTAAAACAAGCGAAGGCTCCACTAAAATTTGCTCTATCATAGCATGATTGGTGGAAAAATTCAGCACATGAAGAGAACTCTCACCTTCTGTGAGTTTAGCATCATGGGCATTACCTTTGCTCTCATGTTCAGTAGGAATAG